GCGGGGGCGGCGGAGGGGGCGCCGGGGGCGGGACGGGCCCCGCTTCGCCCGCCTGGGCTCGGAGCGGGCCCGGCTCGGGCTCTCCGGGCGCCGCGGGGCCGGAGCTGCCGCTGGTGCTGCCGCTCTCCTCGCTGCACAGCTCCTCGTCGTCCGGAGGCTCGCTGTCCGGGCTGCGGCTCGGCCGGCTGCTGTAGTCCAGGTCGCACTCCTCGGCCTTGTAGAGCTCCCCGTCCTCTGCGGACAAGCGACAGCCGCTGTTAGGGCTCGCCGCCCGGCCCGGCCCCCTGCCCGCCCTCCCCCAGCCCCGCCGGTGCGGCCCCCGGGGCGAGGGCAGCCGGGGAAACCCGTCCGTCCCGGGAGTTCGCCCACCCGGTGTCCCCGCTGCTTCTGGGACAGGGCTGCCCGGGCAGCGGGGCCACCCCTCCCGGCCCTCCCGGTCCCTCCCGGTCCCCCCGGCCCCTCCGCCCGCCGTGGGGATGAGGCCGGGCCGAGCCCCTCGGGTGCAGGGCTGCCCCGGCCGCCCTGAGCCAGGAGTGCGCTGGGGACAGGGCGAGGAGCTGGGGAAAAGCGGTGGTGATGGGGTTGGGAACTGCAGCTCTGGGGCCGGGAAAGGGTTGTTCAAGTTCGGGGAGGCTGTGCCAGCTCTGCCCCTTCCGAGCCAGACACCTTCAGCAAGAGCTGGTACCCAGATGTGGCCGGGATTGGGGATGTACCTCACTTCCCGCGGCCACCAGTGCACCCACTAAACACCCGAGGGCTGGAAAAGCCTTTGGGAAGGCAGCAGGGCGAGGATCCCCGCGGTAGCCGGAGGGGCAGCGGGGCGCTGGCAGCGGCGAGGAGCGGCTGGGGAGAAACCCCTGCCCGGGCCGAGCCAGCCGTGTCGGGAGAGCGGGCAGCAGGGATGTCAAAGCGCCTCTAACAATTTTAGTGACGGAAATCTCCGAATCGATGGGCGGTTTGCTGGGTTTTGCTCTGGCATTTTTAACCCTTCCTGCGTCTGGTTTGACCTCTTGTCACTTCCCGACATGGAAGTATTAAAGTGGAGTAAATACTTGTATTGATTACCAGAGCAGATACAAACTTAATTAAACTCATTTTGTGCAATGTACAAACTAGTTAACGGTCATTTAATTTATTTGGGTTTATATTACGCTCCAATTAACGGGTTTCCATCGGAGAACAGGGTAATTATCCGATATTTAAGGCTATTGGACTTCTGCTGACGATTCTGTCATTATGAAGCCTGAAAGCAAATCGCGTTTTCCTGAGAACCGGCTCCTCCTCATCCTGGCCGGGGCCGGGCTCCTTCGGGGAAGCGAGAGGTGAATCCTCTCCACGGGACGGGGCTGGGGGAGGCCCCGCGGACAGGTCGGGGGCAGAGGCCCGTGAGTACCGTCCTTTTTCGCCAGTGCTTTCAGACACTCCTAAACTTCCCTCCTCTCACTTCTGCAACGGGGCTGTAGCTCCGGGAACTCCTAATCAAGGACTCCTTTAACTTGGTTAACCCAGATACGCGAATAGAAAATGAACCGCTGGTCTGTCACCCTTATTCCGTCCACAGTTTAGTTGTTTATAATCGCCCCAAAACCTGAACACATCTCAAATTTGCTCCTCAAGCCGGACCCCCTGACACCCGCATGTAAAATTAGACGTGGTTTTAAAAGTGTGTTTTGTTCAACACGCTGATTTCAGATATAGCTGTTTCAATAGGAGAAATCAGGGCAGAGTTCTGTTGTCCTTTTCACCCCGAAAATATCCCTTAATAACTCAGGATTCATTAAGAACCCTTTTCAACTTTCTGTTCAGGTCGGAGCATGGAAAACGCGGGCGATCGCAGCCGAACAGAAAAGAACCGGGTCACTTTTCTCCCAGCCCGACCCAGTGAGTGCAGACAAGTGTCCTGCAACCTGTAGGACCTGCTAGAAAATTGTGGGGGGTAATTTTCTGCAGCAACGATTTATGAAAAGTGCGTGTAGCTGCTCCTGCGGGGCAGACTCGGGGGCTGAGCTCAACCCCAGCACCCACACACGGACCGGACCGGGGACCTGCAGCTGGCTGTTTCCGAATTTAGTTTTCCATCCGAGGAATCCCATCCGTTGGTCAACTAAAATTTTTTAAGACAAAAGAAAGGCACCGCGAATAGAATTGGCGACGGAGATGGACGCCGGACTTGTTATTTTGTTTCTGGAACATGTTAAATTGTGATTTAATGGGGAGTTTGAACTGTTATTTTTAACATTAAAATAGTTTTACGAGCGGCAAGTGACCAGCGCTGTTTTTACTCTCCTTTGGCCAGAAAGCCTTTGCATTTTCCGGAGGGGTTGGTACTTTTCAGGACAGAACTACTTTCCAGAACGCTTCTCCTACATTAAGACACCACTTGAACTAATACTAATTACGATGGGGAAAGAGAAGAATTAAATTTCGTGATTTTCTAGCAGTCCCAGATCTATTCCTGGCCACTGCCATAACATTTAAGGCGATGTGACCGAAGGAGTCCCTGTGTGCAGTGTCCGGGGAACTTGTCAGCGGGCGAAGCGCACCGCGGCGTGATGCCTCCAAACATATTTATTTAGAGAGAAGAGATGGAGTTGCATTTCTCTTCTTGTCTGGAGATAAAAGTGTGAGATTAGCGATAGGTTAACCTCGTCAGTCTTTTTGATCACCCAGATCTATTTAATATGACGAAAGTCAGATGAGTTTAGAGGAATAATTACTCCAGCTCCGCACTGCTTTTAAAAATATCTTTTGAATTCTATTAGTGCCCCATTCCTGCTTTTGCTTTACAGATGAAAAATGCGTCATGGCTCGGGCTGGAGCAGATTCCAGACCTCTTTCACTGCCTAATTTTACTTGACAGGAGTCTCGCTATGGCGAGGTTGGAAACCTCCGAATCCTCCTCTCCCGCCCCAGACAGAGAGAAATTATTTCTCCTAAGCCTAGAAGTTTATTTCCTGCAGCTCGCTGCCTCTTCTTTCCCCTCTCTGGACATGGAATAGCTATAGATATTTTCCACAACGACCGCCTTTTCCCGGAAACCCTTCGCGATCCCCAGAGTGGTGGTGTTTAGAGGTGAGAAAGTTGGGATATTCGGACCCAGAAAGAAAAAAGCAATCTAGAGCTTGGGTCGAATGCAATTCCCGATCAATAGCGAGCCCTAATAAGTGTAATAGGTTTTAATCGAGTAATTATCCGAATTTTGACCCTATAATTTAGATGTTAGGGAAGAGTTTGCAAGGTGCTTGAAAGAGATATGCACAATTCGATAATAGGATATCGATCCAAGCAGTCCTACATGCCACTCTGGGGCGATTTTCCCCATTATCCAGCCTCTTTACGCTGCTAAGCACATTTTACCTTAAATGTAATCGAAGGAATTTAATTGTTTTTCCAGAGATAACCAGCATTTTGTCACAATTAGTCTGATTTGTCCTAAAAAAGCCAAGGGGAGAGAGAAAATTGAATCTGTCGCCCAGAGCGACGAGCGGCGGCGGCGGGGGGAGGACGGAGAGGGGTCCGAGGCTGAGGAGAGAGACACAAAGTCATAAACGCCTGGGGGGGCCCAGGCGAGGTGGGGGTACCGAGGGAGGGTTTTCGCACCCTCGGGAACGGGACTCCGGCCCTCCGAAGCTGGAGGAGCCGCTTCCAAGTTTGCCTGAGCCGGAGCTCACAGGCAGCACTGGCTGTCCCTGCCAGGAGGAGGAGGAGGATGGCGGGGTTCCTGCCCACCCCAGCCAGGCCGGCATCCCTGGGGCTCATCCTGCAGCTCCCGGGGGTGCACGACACGAACAGCTCCGGGTGTCCCGCCGAGTTCCTCGGCCACTCGGGGAAAGGAGCCCGGCCAGTGCCGAGCCCCGGGACCAGCCGCCAGCTCCGGCCTGTCCCGGGAGGATGCGCCCGGCTCCCCCCTTGCCATCCCTCCGCCTGACAGAATTCCACCTCTCTACATCCAGCAGCAACAGCGCAGGGCGCATTTGTCCTTCCCCGGAGCCGGCTGCCCGCAGCGCCCCGGCTCCCGAGGCTGCCAGCGGGGGAAGGATGAGATGTCAAAGCATGCGAGACCCTGTTGGGGGAACTCGGGGCAGCTCCGGCTCGGAGGGGCTCCGAGCCCCCGGACCTACTTACTGATCAGCTCTGCCGACTTCTTGCACGCGTCGAAATCTTCGGCGAGAGCCTTTTGCTCGGCCAGCTCCGTCCCTGAGTCCTCGGGCTTATCCTCCGCCCCTAGAGTGAACTCGGTCCCCGCCGATTTGTACAAGCCCGCGCACTGCCGCCGCTTGCTGTTGAACTTGTTAGGGTCCAGGATGTCGAGCACGGAGAAGGAGGTGGTTCTGTGCACCATGGGCAGCGCGGCCACTGCCCCCTCTTGTCCGGGGGTGTTGCTCTGGCTGTCCCCTTGCCTGTCCCGGCTGGCAGGGCAGTAGAGCGGCAGCTCGCCGCCGGCCGAGAGCCGCTGCTCCCCGCGGCTGTCCATCCCTTCCCCGTGGCAGCCGCGGGGCTCCCCGCCGATGCCGGCAGCGGGGGCTGTCACCGCCGCGGCTGCCGCTGCCGGGATGGAGATGTCACCGACCTTGTCTCTGCTCACATTCATGACTCTTTGCAGAGCCCCTCTCGGTTGCAACTTCTCCCCCCTGCCCTCCCCTCTTGCTTTCCCCCTCCTTCCTCCGGAGAAGTTGATCTGGAAACTCCTCCCCGGCTCCGCTCCGGCTCAGGACGAGCCGCTGCCTTCAGCTCCCCGGGGCTGCGCTGGGTCCAGCCGCCGGGAGCCTCCGGGGGAAGCAGGGAGTCACAAGGTGATGCTCGGCACAGAGCCTCCACTCAGCTGCTCCTTCTTCCTTCTCATCATCCTCGCCAGGCTGCCAGGCGCTTCTGCCCCCCCTCCCTTCTCTCTCTCTCTCACACACACACAGAGGCAAGGCTATATCTTATTTATGCATTCATATTTAGCACTGGATTGTAATTGGCTACAAATTAATCCCTTGCCCATAATAGTCTGTAATCTTCATCACTGGAAGAGAGACACGTTGGAAATGTGTGCCGGGGGGAGGGGGGCAGAGAGGGAGAGAGCGAATGAAGGATGGTGTTGGCTGTGATATACTTGGCTGTCAGCTCTGTTTCAGCACACCTCCACTCATCTGGAAAGCATCTAAATAGCCTTATTTGGAGAAGTGGGAGGAGATGACGCTTTCTTTTAAATAATTGCGGGATCAATATAAAGAAGATATTATACACAGAAAAGGGGAACTTAAGGTCTTCCATCCCTAATAGTGGAGTTAGATGATCAAAAGGGGATTGTGTGTGTGTGTGTGTGTGTGTGTGGGCTCAGAGGTGTCAGCCCCCAGCACCTGTTTCCCTTCCCTGCTGGGTTTATTAAATTAGAACAAAAGGAGAAAATTATGGACGGAGGTTTTGCGGCTGGAGTGAAGCTTGTGTCCGCGGACACACACACCCTCACACGCTTCTTTCTCCTCCTTAGCTAATTAATTAAAATTAAATCTCAAATGTAAGTGCCAGGAAAGTGCCAGAAGAAAATTAATGCGTTTAAACGGCACAAGACAAAACACGACGATAAATAAATCCTGAGTAACTGGGAAAAAAGGTCTATTCCCTTGCATGTGAGGAGTAAAGGTATAACCAGACCTAAGTTCCACTTTGGAAAAATACTTTCTTATTAAATACGGTTTTAATTGTAGAAAATTAAGACAGGAATAAAATTGTCAGTGAATTATACAACATGTTTTCCCATCCCCTACCTAATTTCCTTCCCTCTCGTGTATAGTTGTGTGTTCTTTGATCGTATCAATTTCATTCTTGTTTTGGACGCTCCAGTCGCTACTCAGTTTGAATTAGCTGCCAGGAAAAAAAAAAAAGGGGGGGGGGCGGTAGGAAAATAGAGAAAGCATAAAAGGAAAATTAGATTTTTTTTTGTCTTTGAGGCTGGTGACACATACAAGGACAGGTCCTTTGCAATTACCGCGGGCAATGATCCTTTAGAAAGCAGAAATTAAAAGTTGGGAGAAATAATGGGTAAAACAATCAGCTTGTAATTTTGGTAGGTCTTGGACATGATTAGTCCATCAGCGGGCTGGGCCCAGGGGAGTCCCGCTGAGCAGGAACCCACAACAGCCCCCGCTCATATATTATACACCAGCTCTTAGATTTTAATCAGACACCACAACAGTGTCCTTTCTCTTTTATGACTTTATTATGCTTTATCTTTAAATTATAAATCACCTCCTGGGTTGAAATGGTATGTATAATCTCTGATCATGTGTAGGTAATTACCTCTCCCCCTTGTCCTGACCTCACCGACGGGGCTGCCACGAACACACAGCGAGAGTGAAGTTTTAATCTGCGTGTGCACACACTCAGGGGTTTGTTGGTTTGTTTGTTTGTTAACAGCTCCTCTTTCTTTCCTCCTTCTCCTCCGGCCGTGCCTCTGGTCCCATCTTTTCATTCGGATAAATTTTCCTCACATTACTCCTGACCACAGCGCTGGGATATTATTTATGAAAAAATAGATGGTGGTTTAGGTAGATGCCAGTGACTCGGCTGTATCAGATTCGCTGTCGTACTCGACTGTAATTGTACCTTTTTTTTTTTTTCTTTTTTTTTTTTTTTTTTTTTTTTTTTTTTTTTTTTCTTTTTTTTGTGGGGGGAGGGGTTTGGGGGAAGCTAATGCGGTTATTTGGGAGTAGTGATGGTAGGAATATTTTTTATTCCCTGGGTCAGTGCCTCTTAGGAAAAAAAAAATAAAAATATTCTAATTGTAATTGACTCCTGTGCCAGGGCAGGGACCGTTCCCAGGCGTGCGGAACCCAGAGCGGCGATATCAGCACAAATTCACGGATCAGAGCTGGGTTTTGGGAACAGAAGGACCCAAATCCCTAAGGAACACCCCCGAACAGAGCTCTCAGGTGCCACCGGGCACCGACAGACACCCCCCCATCACCGGGAGCCGAGGGGGTGCTGGGCAGGCACTGCCGGGCCCCGTCCCGCCGGGACCCCCAGCCCGCACGGCGCTTTTGTTTGTTGGAGGTTTAAAGCGAGTGTTATAAAGATGTTCTATTGCTCCTAATCACAATTGATTGTCAATTAGAGCCTCATTTGTGCAATCTCCATCCATCTGCCATCTCTGGTTATCTGTTCACCAGAAAGTTAGCGCTGATTATGGGGCCCTAGATGAGTTGTGACATGTAATATCTCGCCAGTGGTCGGGCCGGGTGACCGGTCCCGTCTTCCTCTCTTTCCATTTTCCTTGCAGGATGGACGAGCAACAGCCTCTCCTGACTCACTGGTCCGAGCGACGCTGTCCTGGGGGACCAGCTGAGAGGGTGCTGGGGGTGAGGGGCTGCAGGGCACCCCCAGACAGGCGGCATCGGCGCCCTGCAGAGCCACGTCCCCGTATTTTGGCCCCGGATCCCTTGCCCTGCTGAAGAAAGCTCCCACGGAAACGTTTCCTTCTCCTAAATAAATAGGGAATCACACGGAACACCCTCGTGTTTTTACGAGCCTCCCCGCCGCAGCGATGGTTATCTCTGTAGTTAGGCTGAATTATACCTGCGGGGAGGTGATATTTCCAGAGCCTGAAGGCATCGCTGGCCAGAGCATCTCCCGGGAGCCTCCATCCCCTCGGCCACGCCGAGCCCCGGGTGCTCCCGGGGTGTCGCGTTTGAGGACGGGAGCCGATGCCTCGGTTCTGCCAGGGCAGGGCAGGTGGGAACCCTCTGAGGGCTCTGTCCCTGCTGGCCTCGGTGCCCGGTCATCCTTCACACCGGGATGGAGCCAGGCCATGCACTCTGCGGGTTCCGGGGTGCCCCCTGGTTTTAACTTAATTAGTTAATACCGATTTTCAAATTATATTTCAGCGACCTGCCGATCAACGAACAACCTTTTCTTTCTCTTTTTTTTTCTTTTTTTTTTTTTTTTTTTTTTTTTTTTTTTGACTGTTCTTCAGTGTTCTCCAGCCATCCCTCTGTCTGTCCCTTGGGGTCTGGAGCTTCGGGTAATTAAGGGCATTTATCGCCGCGGTAAAACAATTTAGCAGCCTTCACTGCTCCGAGAAGGTCACTCCGGTGGCTGCACCAGGCGCGGAGGCTCCGCGTCCCTCCGCGCTCGGCGCTGCCCGCAGCCCCGGGAGAGCGGCGGCTTTCCACGGCCGTGTCTGCCCGGCCGGGGGGGCCACCACCTCCCTTGGACTTCTGCACTTGCCAGTATTGTTTCCAAATGCAATCGGGCTCCAAGATTCATCTTGCTTTGAACGGGTTACTCTCGAATCTATTATTATTATTATTATTATTATTATTATTATTATTGTTATTGTTATTGTTATTATTATTATTACCATTACTAGTACGAGTATTACCGCCTTTGCTTTTGGGGCCGCAATCAGGCGCAGGATCAACCCCTGAGCCTCGCACATGGCTCTTGGTCTCATCCTGATTTTGTGCCCCGCGGGGGTGTCCCCGTGCAGGGCAGAACTGAGGATCAGCGGTCACCTCGGGATGCCCGTCTCTCCTCGGGAGAGTGGGGATCCATCCACACACACCCCCAAGCTAAAATCGCGGAATTAATTAACTTTACCCACGAAGGCAAATGATTTAGGACGAAAAAAAAGATTCTGAAGCAGATCTCGCCCTCTATCAATGCGGTGTCAGGTCCTCATAGTAGAAGATTTAAAAGCCCTGGGGATTCCAGGTTAGAGTAGTAATGAGCTTAATTGAGGTTAATGCTTCCTGCACAGCTCCTTGATTATTAAATTAATATTATCACACACATGAATCATAATTAGAAGTTTAAATAATGCTCTAGGGGAATCCTCGGAGGATCTATTAAACAGTTCCCTTCCCTCTCTCCGGCTCCCTCCCTGCTCCGCGGCAGCCCGAGGGCAGCCCGGGGGCGGCTGAGGATGGGCGCTGCTGGAGGGGGCCGAGGGGGAGATGCTCCCGAGTGTCACCGCGGGGACAGAGAGAGGGGCAGCGCACTCACGGTCCCTCCTCGCCCTTCAAGCCTCAGCCCCGTGGAGCCCCGTTTAACCAGCCGCTCCTCCCCGCCTCCTAATTTGGGCGCTTATCTCCCAGCGCCCGGGAGTTTATATAAAATACTAATAAAGTGCCTTGTTGTCACTTATCGCGGCTGGGATCGGCTCTGCAAGGGCTTTTCACACACCTGGCGAAAGCCGATCCGTTTTGCTGGCAGGAGGCTGGAGATGCCGCCAAGAGCATCCCCGCGCCGCCCGCCGGGATGCGAGGCAGGGAGGGGGGGACGAGAGGGGAGATGCTCCCGTCTTGCCCTGGTACCAACTGCAGCTCTCAGTCCCGCGGCTCCAGCCCCCGTGACACTCGTGGGAAGCAGCCCAGGATGGGGGTGTCCTTCCTGGCTGGGAGAGCGCCCCCGATCCTGCCCCCAGCTCCCGAGCCGGGTGCTGCAGCACCAGGGACCCACACGTGCTGCGAGGACAAGCGGCTCGATTACCATTAGTATTATTTAGTATTATTATTATTATTATTATTATTATTATTGCTACTACTATTTCTAAGGGAAGATTGAAAAAGGGGGAGAAGCAGTGGTGGAGGGGGCACACACAGCCCC